AGGTTCTTACAGGAGTCCCTCGACAGCTTCCGATTGCGTCGAAGTGTGTTTGAACTTTCGATATAAAACGTTCGTGACAGTTTTAGTTCGCTGTTAGACACATCGCGATTGCGGTAACAAGAAACCTTAAACCCGTTATCCATTGATCGGTTGCGACAGAGTCGATGCGTTTGTTTCGAATTAATCGACACGTCAAAGCAATGGTCTATCAGTTTATGATTTTATCTTCTTATGGAAAATAGAATACGGAGACCAGAGGAGTGTTGGTAAAGAATTTTTGGGTTACGTTTGCAGTTTTTACGTTGAACCCTTTACATACTCTTTTAACCCTTTCGCACCCACTGTTGCTATATGGCTATGTACTCAAAATTACGAAATAAAATTTTAGTATCATGTATTTTTTCATATCTCTGAGCATATAATAGTTTCTTCTAGTGTTATATAGATGGCACGGAAATCAGAAAATTTATATAAAAAAATTGGTAAAGAAATCATTACAGCATAAGAATATTTGATTGCTTGAATAATTTTACGGAAAATGGCGAGGAATCTTAAAAGTCTCGTACCAAGTTGAAACGTTTTAATTGACTTTTACTTTCGAATCGTAAAAAAAGATGAAGAGGATTAAAGGCTTGGTGCATCGTTACTTTAGGATTCCTACTCTAACCACACAACGTGTTTCTTCGTAAAATACGAGGGACGTTTGTAGATCGTTTAAATCATATTTACTACGTCATATAAAGTCTCAACATTTTGCGTCGGGTATTAATCCCCAGAATATAGTGACAATGTAAAATGCAGTATAGTCCGGATTAGCGAAACCACTTCGCCCCGAATTAGTGCTGGGATTAGTCATCATCAGCAATTATTCTCTTATTCCACTCGTGTCCCTCGCTGTTCCTCCTCGATCTGATATAACCACTGATTCCGAATTGTACACTTGCCGGTTTTCCCACTTTTCAGCGGTATTAATCTTTCACTAATCTGGACTTTACAAACTCATCCCCTTTCAATTTTTGTTTTAGCACCTGACATTTAAAGAGGAAAGTCCCTGATGTACTTTAATTATAATTCATTTCTTTCTTACTTTACATTACGTGTAATAATATAATCTAATTGCCAACTTGGATACTCAAGTTATCAAATTATTTCACGTTAACCCTTTCATTACCAGATTATTTAAAAATTACCAAAGAAATGTTTTCTTCTATTTTTTGTGTATATTAAATAGCCCTCCTGAAATATTTGAAAGAATTTAATATACCATTTATACAAGACTAGAAGAAACTATTACATACTCACAGATATGAAAAAATACACGAACTAATATTTTATTTCGTAATTTAGAATACGTAGCCATGTGACAACAGTGGGAATGAAATGGTTAAGTCTGATATTTCACTATTACAGTTCAAGCTTCCAAGAATTCAAATAATAGATACAGTTCCTTCTCGAGTCTACTCCAATAACCGTGCTACAACAATTGAGCCACCTCTATCTACTAGAACTTCCATTAGACGAATATCTTAGTAAACCGTAGCTACTGGTCACCTAAAGGTAGAATTTCCTAGCACCGTAAGACGCTTGCATCTCCGTTCAAACGAAACACGACATATATCTGTTTCCCATTTCGTTCCATTGTTTGAGACGTATAACGTCTGCGTCAGTAGCAATTCAGGCGTAAACGCACGCGTTCGCCTGATGCTGATGAGAAATTCCACCTGAAACCAGCGCCACAGCGGTCTAGAATCAAAATTTAGCAGCTCGAACGATGAAAAACAAACTTCTTGTATTAAAAAGCAACATCTTTTATCTCTCGAAACACTCACGTCTAATTATTATTCACCCCTTGCCTTACGATTTTTTTGACGACTGTACTCTCAAGCATTACTTTATCGTTAATAATTTCCTAGATATAAAAAGAATTTTATTCTCAGGATAACCAATGAAATAAAAGTTAACTTGTATTCCAATGAGAATTATCTCGCAAATGAAATAAATAAATAAAAAAATTTCTCTAATCTTCTATTGTATACTTTACAAATTTTGTAGGATAATTCTCGACAAAATTTCGAGAAGAGAAATCAAGAGATTTTACCATTTCTGATGAAATTCTTGAGAAGAAAGACTAGCCTCGCCCACTGTATCAATTATACAAAGATAAAAATCGATAACACCGCTAAACGAGTACCAGATCGCATCCGATTGGCTCGATGATTCGTTTGATGGTCCATGACACGGTGAAAGATCCTGCGAGCTATAACGGTGGGGCACGGCGGATCAGCTCGCGGATTTTTATGATCCAGCATAGAAAACGAGAAGGAAATTGCCGTCGTGTCGAAAGACGAGATTTTACGAGCGAGAGCCCCACAGGCTTTCCCAGGTTTGATGCTTGCGCGTCTCCGTTCCACCGTAAATCACAGTTCGCCGGATTTCGAAAGATGCTCGGTACCACGAATAAACGCGTGCACGTCGATTTAATGGGCGAAGCGATTAGTGGCGTGTAGCGTGCGCTGTTTCTTTGCCCGTAGACTTGAGACGTGTGTTTCCGTTGATCGAATCGAGCAGTCAACCTTCCTAACAGATTGCAACTTTCGTTGCCATATTTTTTCTCCCATGTTTTTGTCCCATATTTTTTAATGAGTGCAGATAGTAATTAGGAGAAAACACACTCGTTTGATGGCCAACTGTTGTTTTTGTTAACTTTTACCTTTCACCGGGAGAAAAATGATCAGTACTTGATCCGAGCAGTATTTTCTCTATCTCTTTAAATCACGACGACTACGAGTCGATTGGTTTTTTTCTTAGAAATATAAACACGTGGAGGAATGGAAAGCATTTCCGTTACGGCAAGATAAATATGTAAGTGAAATCTCAATTACTTTGATCGAGAAATTGTACAGCATCTGTTCACCAGACGTCAGCAGTGAAACGTTCTGTGGCGACTTCAGGCAGGGGGATTCTCGCGTGACTTTGAAAAGCAACAGTGCCTAAGGGCGTCATCCTGAGTTATAAACAGTGAATGAAATAATTGTTAGCCAAATATCGACTCACTGAAGAAGTATTATTTTGTTATAAAAATTGGAATTTCCACCTTTAAAGTAGATTAAATATTTCAAAATGGCGAAGTACTTTTTTTTTTATCTTTTATTCGTTATTCGAAACTTTTTATCTAAATAATGAGTTTGCCCATCTCTGACGGAAAGTATTACGTGGCATTGTGAGTTGCGGTTCCATTCAACAACGGACAATCTTACCGATAATAGCATTCATTTTATCGGATATTATAAATATAGCTTCCTGAATCACAATTTCTTCTATGTCGAGCTACTGAGAGGGCCCCGCATAAGTCGGTTAAGGAAAAGGAAGTTTTCCATATATCAGAGAATACAGAGCCCGGTGTAGCAGTGTATCATACACATGTCCCAGAACTCTCTGCGGATGTCGAGCATTCAGTTTTATGCTTCGATCAGATGCAACGGGCCACGAAGACCCGAAGGGGCAGTTGCATGTGTATGTGTGTGTCATTTCATGTTATTGAATTATTAATATAAAGTCGGACATCTGGTCAGACCATATTTCGGTCGCGTTCCAGGCGAGTCAGTCGAGGGGTGAGAGGAAGGCGGTTAATAAAATCTCTTCCGTGGACTGGCCGAGAACTAGAGATGTTCGATTCACTTGAAAGAATCGATTCTCGAATCGAATCATGAGAATCGATTGTCTTAAAAAATTGAAACTAAAGAATTGATCCAAAAATCGTAAAAAAGCATAGATATAATATGGGAATAGAGATGAACTTAGTACAAACTTGAAGGTATGAAATGAGTTAGAGATTCTTTTAATAAATACATTTTATAACTCTAGATTAATTAATAATTTGTTTAAACGTTTGAAATTTATCCTCTTCCCTTTCCTTGAAAGGTACGAATTCATTAATAAGGCGTAAAACACTAAAAATTAGGAAATTGATAAGAACGAACAAACGTATTAACAAAGAAGGTTTTATTTATTATCGATTTTGAAGGATGAAATAGGAATCGAACAGCATAGAATCGATTCGAAAGATCGATCTTTTAACTTGAAGAATCGATTTTTTAAAGAATCGAATCTAAATCGAACATCTCTGCAGAAAGAATTTCGTGAATCCCCCTGTCTAATCTCGCGAAAGCCACAGCTAAGGGGGTCCTCTACGCCGAAAGCATTAAACTTTTGATCGAATCTGAGCAGACTCGGCCCCCCAAGACTCGCGCAAGAATATCGGACGTGTAGGTGTACCGACTACTGACTCTAACGTTTCGGGATCCGGGAGAATTTGGTCGGCTGCGATTTAACGTGTTTGTCGAGAGTCGGGCGGAAAAGCAATCGCGATAAATCTTCGCGCGCGAAGGTGAGAGATTACGAGGTCCGAGATTCGAAGGGGAAGCAGAACTCGTGCGTTATTGTAATCGTGGGCGAAGTATGCGTCTGTTAACATAGACTCTGCGTGTGTTTGATACTTCCGAATTTCTGCTGCACGAACTGATCAAACAGTTGAATTGTAATTACAGGACGGTGGCTACTGCACTAAGATCTTTGGGGGCGGGGGAGGAGGGGGGTATCATTTTTTAGACCGTGATTTAGTGCTAATGAGATTTATGCTACTCCGTTCAAAACTGGTATCGAAAGTTTCGGTACTGTTAAGGAAATGGTCCGAATTGACTAATGTAAAGTGGTAATCTTCAGAGGTTCTTTTTCCATCTACTACACTATATTTTAGTGCTGATTGGACTTATACTATTCCGTTCAAAACTGGTATCGAAAGTTTTGGTACTGCTAATTAGATAGTTCTAATCGATTTATGTAAAGTGGTGATTTTGAAATGTTCTATGCTTTAGAACTGGTGAGATTTTTATTATTCCGTTCGAAATTGGTACTGTAAGTAAATGATTCTAATTGATTTATACAGAATAGTGATCGAAATCTATGATTTTGTGTTAGGAAAGAAGAGTGACGACTCGAAGATGTACAGCTCAACGGTGACCCAATACGAAGAAGAGAAAAAAGTCACTCAAGAAGTGGAGAAGGATGTGGAACCATTTCCGGTAGCGAGAAGTCGAGTCCCAGCTAGTCAGCCGATAATATGGCTGAATGTGATTGTTATCATACTGCTTCATTTCCTGGCCGTTCATAGTTTCGTGACCGGTTATCGGGATGGCAATGTTTGGACCTGGTTCTGGCGTAAGTACACGTCGAATGTCACTTATGTAGGTTCCTGAACTGTACTTCTAAGCTTCTTCTGTTATTTCTACTGAACATTTCATTTAATATTTATATTTCAATAATATGTGCCTTTCACGATACGACATCGTCATACAATTGTTCTATTTCAATTGTTAACTTCAGTGAAAAAAGAAACTGTAGTATAAGAAAATTCAAGATAGTAAGTCATCGATGAGTGTTCGAAGGGTCCTTGGCACAGCACATTAAATATTCCATAAACTAATAGCCATATACGACTGAAATATCATTGGCTTCAAAATTCCAAGCTCTGTCACTGTGCTAAACCTCATTAAAAAGTCAGCAGTACAACTGGGGACTTCTTGTCAATGCTGAGGAGCCTTCGAACACTCATCGAGGATTTACTGTAGGCACTTTAAGACTAAAATGAAATAACCTTACAGTCTTCTTTATCTCCCTACGAAAGAAAAATACGTATAAACTTCTCACATATTTCATATTAATATGAAAGTCGAACAAAGAAGTTACGGTTAAATATGTTTTTCAATGTTCTCTACATATGCTTCTCTCAGCAAGACATTATGTGCGAATTTCACTGGTTTTAATTAGATATAGGTCATGGATTTATTTCCGGGATGGGAATAACAGCAGGGGCACACCGATTGTGGGCGCATCGAAGTTATTCCGCCAAGGTCTCCCTGCGAATCTTCTTAGCATATGCATACTGCATGGCCGGCCAGGTTAGTGTACCCTCACAAGCACACTTGGCTTCCACTAGGGAAAAAAGTGACGTAGGGAAACGGCCTCCTACCACTTGGTACCGGGAATTACTGAAATTTCTATCAAATTAACGAATATCAAAATATTTCTTTAATCATATTTTTTATATTTAAATCACTAGGGAACAATTATTCTATTTAACCTTTATTTCAGTACTTGAAATAAATTTACCAAGTACATAGTAGGAGATTCTTTTCCTACGCCTCTTTTTTCCCTAGCATAAGCCGAGTTTGCTTGTGAGAATATACGTTCAGTTTCGATTGGACAACCTTCTATCTAATAATAAATTGTAGAATTTATCTATTTTTTTGTATTTCTAATAATAAATATAATTAATATAAAAGCAATCGAATACTAATCCAATGGAATACGTTTCGTTCGATTAGACGCATCTCTATAAGTGGATACGAGACCATAGAACGCATCACAAGTACACGGAAACGTCTGCGGATCCTCACGACGCGACCCGCGGTTTTTTCTTCTCACACATCGGCTGGCTAATGGTGAAACGACACCCGGCCGTGAAGGAGTACGGCAGTAAAATCGATATGAGCGACATCGCGGCGGATCCTGTAATACAATTCTTCGACAAGTAAGAGGGTTTCTGTCCCACTGTTTAACAGTCCTATTTAATACCAGAACTATCGACGATCAACGTATATCTATTTCTATCGGATCCTTAACGAGACACGCCCCTTGATAGGATTTAGATAAAGCCTAGATTTAAAAAACTATTTACACGAAATTACTCTGATGAAGAAATTTTATTCTCCCGGATTTTATTTATTTTTCCATAAGGAATAACCTACTGTATATTTCGGCCGCGAAATGAAAGAAAATCTATTTCTTCCCGAAAAATATATATTCTGCAGTATAGACATAATATCTGCATAAATATTCACAGCATAGGACACCTGTGACGTTTTTATAATGCAAAATGAGAGGAAGTGTTGGTAATTCCGTAGAAAATCCAACACCAGAAAACGAAGAATAAAAGAACCCAAATTCTAGTAGTCCATTAGAACATCCAACTGCTTCGTCGAACTCAATTTCACGGTGAATTAGACATAGGGCACTGGTTACAATAGAGTATTAAGTCGCGTACCGACTGGGATACAATCGCTGAAGACACTGTATTCATATACATACCGACTGTTGATTAAACCAAATTAAAAACTTCGATTGGAAAATCCACGGCAGATATTATACTTTGTTTAATGTCTTGCCTGCCAATATTTTGTTTAATGTGTTGCCTGCTCAAATAACAGAAATCAGTTTAGAATTGTTAAAGATAAATAACGGACTGAGTTTACGATACGGACGTGATCTCTTTGCCACTTTTGAGATTAAGATTTCCCATACGAGCTGTGCAGTTTATTTCTTAAATGTCGTTTGTTGCCTGATAAGCTCGAAAATCTCTACTCAATCCTTTAAGTCCCAGTATTATCCCCATATTGCACCGGTACAACACACGTTTTAAAAATGCGTCAAATTCTGTCGGCGATTAATATATACCTTTTGTCAGCAAGGAAAAGTAAATTTCAACGTTTATGTTTGGAAAATTCAAATACTTCTTTGAGAAATAAATAAAAATAATAATTATAATAACAAGGTACAGCATACCTATATATATGCATATGTGTCAGTTTCATAATTTCTATACGATTTAAGGGTTTAGGCGATCAAAGGGTTAAGAAAACGGAGAAAATCCGAAGTTTCTTCTCACGTCTCAGTAACTTCTCGATAACTCTGCACCGTGTAGGCGGTGAGTTTGTGTCGGGCGTCGCCTAATTCTAAGAAACCAGCCATTTCATTCATCGGTCGAAGTTTCTACATGGTTCAACCAACCAGAAACGCGAATTCGTCAGATTCAACCCGTTGAAGGGTGAAGACGAACTGGAACCGAAGGAGGTAGCAATTTCGGCTGACAGAATCGCACAACCCCTGGCCTAGTTAAGATATTAAATTTTCATTTGTTTCAGTTGGATCCTAGTTATACATATGAACTAAGTTAAATTTGAAAATAATATTTGTCCGAAATATAATTTGTTTATTACAAAAATATTTCGGATCGAAACTTCGAGGGGCGGTTTCATCCCCTAAAATCGCGTCTCAACCGACAAAAAAAAAATACGTATCCCTTATTTTTGACTGCTTAACAGACATACGAAGTTTCATCAAAATCGGATGTGGACACTTCCGTGCCTTCCCTTGTCAGTTGTACAACATTGAGCTTTATAACATTAACCAATTCCAAACGTCAATGTTCACAGGTATTACGGGTTCATTATGACGTGGCTGTGCTTCGTTTTCCCGACATTGGTGCCAGTTTACGTTTGGAACGAGACCTGGTACGTGAGCATTCACGCGACGCTGATCCGTTACGTATGGTCGTTGCACGCCACTTTTAGCGTAAACAGTTTCGCTCACATGTGGGGAAATCGTCCGTACAACAGGCAAGTATTTCGTCCGTGAGGCGTCGCGGTCTGACCCATCCTGTGTGTCCGACCGTGGCCGAAGTTAATTAAAACTTTGACGTTTGCTCGTTTTTCAAGCGCGACTTACACGCCCCCTCCTCCTGCCCGCCCTCATTCTGTCTCTCTGCCAACAGCAAGGTCAAGCCCAGGGAGAACCCGACCGTGGCGTTCTTCGCGCTCGGCGAAGGCTGGCACAATTACCATCATTCGTTCCCGTGGGACTACAAAGCCGCGGAATTGGGCTCGTACGGGCTGAACCCAGCCACTGCGTTCATAGATTTAATGGCGCGTCTAGGGCTAGCGTACGATCTGAAGACACCGGGGAAAGACCTGGTCGATCGGACAAGCGTGAAAAAAGGGGACGGCACCGACAGTCTTTGGGGCCATCGGAGGTGCTAGTGAAATATTGATGCTGGAAAACGTATCCTGATGATTTTTCCGAAAATTCGTGTAAACGAACGGTACCCCAAATACAGTAAATCATCGATTATTGGTCGAAGGCTCCTTGGAGCTGACAAGGGAAGGACCCCAACTGTACCACTTTGATTTTATCGATCTTTTGTAGGATGATAGTATACATGTTGTTATTGATATATGTGAAATATTAACCGTAGTCACTTGATAGTTTTGAAAGTATAATTAATTACAGTCACATACTTAGTTATGTACGAGGGTTCCAAAATAGGTGTAAGTCCTTGAATGGAGTGGTTCCTGGAGTGATTTTGAACTCTTTCACTAAGGAAAAAATTATTTCCAATCTTTCGAGGACTTACAGCTACATCTCTACCACTGGGGGTCCTTCGTGGTACCAATCAAGCGACCAGTCGAGGGGATGACATATGAACACTCAGTGTAGAGGACATTTCGAACACTCGTGAATGATTTACTGTACAGTAAATTCCGCGATAGTTAATAATAATTGACATTAAGAACGGGTAATTGTCGAGACCCAACAGCATGCAAGATCTCCCTGGAAACTCAACCGACGGACGTCATGCGACCAATTACAATGAATCTTTGATTAACGCTCGAAACTGTTTTGGAATAGTTACTGCAGAGGGATACGATTTCTTTACTTCAGGAATTTGCCACTTCATGAACTGCATTTCGGGCCGGGCTTTCTGTATGGAACCCTCAAGTAGTGGGGATGCCGCAGAAGTATTTATCTTAGAGATCCTTCCGAGCAGTTATCGAGAATTTTTCTGTATTGGATACTGAAGGCAATAGAGAGTGGGGTACAAGGTGCAAGTAATGCGCGTGTGTAAGTAATGCCTGTGACTAGGAGGCCATTCCTAACGGATATTTATCCAGCAGGCAGTTATCGCAAGTTTACTGTATCGCCGACGGATTAGTGGATAGTACGTTCGATACACCGCTTTTCGATCCGCACAATTTTTACTATGTTCCCGTGTCGAACGGTGAATTTATATGTGCCGAGGCATTAAGTGAATTTACTTTTATTGTTATTGTTCGTGTTATCCGTTGATTTACAACGTTTGTATTACCGAGTAGCGTGGGCACCACTCAGGACAGCATGTAGCATCTAACGCGAGAGTCACAGCGAATGATTTCTTGTAATTGTTAATTACTAGAACCAAGGATGATCACACGTAATCAATGATGCGATTGCGAATGTTTATGCAAGCTCATATTTTGTAGGCTTACCAAAACCAATAAAAGTTGAATCCTATTGTATTTTATCTGTTATAGGTTCTATTAGGACACAAGCTAAGTAGAGATTTTACTATTTATAACTATTGTTTATACTTTAATGTACTGTGCACACTCCCATTTGTTATAACGTATAATTATACACGTGGAAATATATATATGTACGCATAAAATGCAAGGTACAGTAGAGATATTACAGTGAATCCTCGATGAGTGTTTGAAAGCTCCTCACAATGACAACGAGAGGTCTCCATATGTAACACTGACATTTTTAATGAAGTTTAGTACAGTGATAAAGCTTGGAATTCTGGAAACATTAGTTTACGAAATATTTAATGTTCAGTGCCGAGGAGCCTTCGAGTACTCATCGAAGATTTGCTGTATTACCGAGTCATTCACAAAAAAAGATATAATAAACAAATTCCGGTATCCCTCTATCAAAACTTTCTCTAAATTGTATAAAAGAACGGATTCTAGTAGTTACAGAAGAAACAAAGCCGTCAGTATTCTAATGTCCACAAAGCAACGACTGTACACATCTTCACCGCTAAGGAAAAGTAATTAACTTATCACGGTAGCTGCAGTAGCTAAAAATACAGTTTCGAAAAGCTTACCTTGTAATAAAAACGAAGTCAATTTAATATCACCGTGTTTCATCTATTTTTCGTCTATCCGTTTCTATTCCCCTCCGCATTCAACGTCGATTGCATTTAACCTAAATGGGAGACCGGATCGAAGGGAAGAGGCGGAGCCACGAATTCCGCGGAGAGGTTAATAGGACGATTTTTGCCCTCGGTTCCCTGGTCGGCGAACATTTAATCCGGCGACGATTATCGGTCCCACAACGCGCATCGGTGAAACGAAAACCGCTCTAAATAATTTAGATTCGTTTCGCGGTTTGGCACGAACTTGCGTGAATTTTCCCATCCGCGGGAATCCGTTATTGCCCGCGCCCGTTTCATAATTATCGTCGGGCGTGTTTTGAGTACGTGCCAGTACTTTCACTGGTCCCCCTCCCCCCGATTCCGGCCGAGTGTACGCGCGACGAGAGGGGAGGAGGTACGCTGCGCGGCGGTACCGCGTATCGCGAACCGTTATTCATCGAAACGGCGTAAAATTAATTATCGGCGCAACAACCGAGGCCTTCAACGATGCGGTAATTACATGCCGGTCGATCCGGTTACTCGTACTGAAAACATGTAATCCAACGTGTGTTTGCGCGATTATAGGATATTTCGCAGGTTCCGTGTTAGCCGGACGATAGATATTGCTGGGCACATACGTTACACGATTTTTCAAAAGTGTCGTTATACAGGAAGAAGGTACTGAATCTGAAAAAAGTACTGAATTTTCATTTGACTGTCCGTTACTCTAAAGAAGGGCAATTTACGGTTATGCTACCTTATTATTCTGGACTATTTAAATATCCCGACAATTCCATTGTTGTGCGCTAAGTCTTAAGTGTAAAGCAACCATTTTTACGTAATGGGATCCAAATTATACTGTGCATACGAAAGTAATTAATTCCTCTACCTGTTTTTATTGCTGTAATGATCTTATGATGCGCGACAAAAGCGTTGAATAGCGACTACGTGAGTAATGGGATAAGGGAGGAGAAAAACATTAGCGAACGGTGGGAGGAGAGGGGAAAAAAGAGAAATTATGCTTGTTTAACTGAATGTGACATATGGGAAGGTGGGAGAAGAGAAAAAAATATTAAATTCTTATGTCTAACTCTGACGTTGTTGTAATTATTATTATCATTCTTAAGGAAGAAAGTAGGTACTATGTAGATCTGTTAGTGAACGTACTAGAACTCTAAAAATGTTTAAAAAGTGCTAGTGGGGGTCACACTGCTTGCGTCTCTTCCCTTCTGGGTACCGCAATATTGTATACCCTAGCGTGTTCTAGATTACACTTAACCCCCCACAACTGAGTTTATTTTTAGGCGACGGGGAGAAAAAAAAGAAATTGTTGCACGGTCGAGTATCGCGTAGTTATGTAAAAATATGTCACGTGATCACTATAAGTATGAAACGAGGCGGTTATAGAACGGTTCGGTATTTATAGACGAGAATATTGTTTTACCGTCTGAACGCGATCTTGTCGATACGGGCTAGTGGCCGACGTGTGTATTTTTAACCCCCGACAGGTATTGTAAAGATGATGGACGGACGATTATGGGAACGGTAAGGTTCGGTTCTCATGATCTGGATATTTAATCAGTTCATACGAAGAATGTACTGCCAACGAAAATGACAACTGAGGGGTGCGCACGATGTTTCGATTCTTCAAAATGCTTTCAAAAGTGGTAGACACAGGTTAAGCGGAAATGACATGATGACATTCTAGTTTATGCGATTTCGAAGACAAATCGTAATGTCTATTATGAATTTAATGAACTTCATCCGACTCAACAGCTTCCGGTAAATAATGTAATCCTCTGCAGTCGGAGCTTTTTTGGGGCACGGGGAACCAACAAGTCGACGAAATTTATTTAAGCAAACAAAAATTTATAATAGATGTAACTTCATAGATAATGTATTTATTAGAAGATTGAATATATTATTGCATTTCAGGGATATAATATTAGTCTCTTAGGTTTTATAATTTTTATATACGTATATTTTATAAGTTTTATATTTTTTATATATATCACGAATGTGGTTTACAAATTGATTTTCTCGACGCAGAATCGAAATAGAAGCCCTATTTACGTAGACTGGATTTTATATTCACAGGTTCTATTATAGATTCAGATCCACGGTGAATAATTGATATCTGATGTCTCATGTCAAGATTGATTGACTTTTCAGACATTAATTTTGGAAGATTTCTCTAATCGGCTTACGAAGATATTAATTTTTCAAACACTAATTTTAGAAATTTCTATAATCAACTTACGAAGGATCGACCTTTCAGACACTGATTTTGGAGATTTATTATAAATTATTTACGAAAATGTATTCAATTTGAGTGCTTTGAGTGACACTAAAATGCAAAATTACCCCAAAAGTGGAGTTACGAGGTTTACTTATTAAGGTCACGTTATATCACATATTCCAATATTACTTTTGCAAATAAACTTTTTCAGAAGAATTCATTCATCTTTCAAGCCTTTCAATAAAAATTTTACCATTCACGAGTGATACATCAGTATTTCTTTTTTAAATCACAAACACTTACTTTTTCTGTTCCTATGAAGAAAATGTTTAAATACTTAATAATTAAAGAGAAAAAAAATTGTCGATTAAAAAACGTGACAACTATCTGCGGTCTCCCCTAAGAGACGTGAAATCAGTGTCTACGGTCCTAACACCGGGCCGCCGCGCAGTCAATATTCTTTTGCCTCCTACCCTTCGAACATCGTCCAGTATTTTTCTCCATGAATTTCTTATGTCCATCGCAACCGAACGGATCGATAAGACACATTCTGTCTGTGCGTCACGGCTCCGATGTGTCTTTTGCACGCCCGTCGCCTTGAAGCGGCCGGAATAAATTTGAATCGCGACGTATACACGCGAAAGGGCCATTCGCTGATCCGATACGACACAGAAGAAATCCGATTCACCGTGTTTCTTTTCATCTTCCCACGACCACGCGAGGGGAGGGGATATCCCGATAACATCTGCGACACGTTTGTTTCCTTAACAGGCAATCAGACCGTCAAAGGACTCCTCTCTCGGGCGTAAAGAAAACCAGAAGTAGAAATGATTAACACGTTGACT